TATCAAGTATTGTTAAAAGTGATTTCTTCTGCGCATGTACTACATTTAAACGTATCAGGTTTGGATCAGGTACAAGTTTTATTCCAGAGATCATTTGCTCTCTATAGAACATAGTGTATGAAATGATTGATTCGAAAAACCAAAAAAAAATGGCAACTTTCAGATCCTTAAGTACTAATTAAATTTCTCATTTGCATACACACATCACTTAGAACATATACATACACAAATAATTATAATTCTTATTAAAACCAAAAATTTATAGACATTTTCATGATTTTTGTGTAGATAATTCAAACTAATTTCTGTTTGTGTTTAAATTTAAATCTTTATTTGGTACATCGCAGATAAGTTATAATGATCCTTTCACTTTTGTTTGTCTGGACTGTATTGTTGTGAATAAGCAATAATTGTTGCAAAGACAGACAGAAAACAAAAAAAAAAAACAATTTACAGTAGCTGAAAATGGCATTAAAAATACTCGTAAAGTAGAAAAAACAGTAATGTTTGAATTATCCGCCCAAAGAAATCTACAAGCAAGCAACATGTAGACAAACATACGCAGAGATCGTGCAATAGACGCATTTTTTCACTGCAGACTTACGTGGATTTGAAATATCTGGTGAAGCTCAACAATTCATGCCACTTAGGAATTTTTTCAATGTTTCATTTTTTTTTGTTTTTGATTTTGTTGCAACAGTTGTTGTTGTTGTATATGTTTGTTGTTGTTGTATATGATAGTTGTTGTTATTCCCTTCTCGGACTGCACTTGGCATTTTAAAAAGCGTAACAATAATCGTGCAGCACATTTATTAGCAACAATTCACATGCTGCAATGAAGCGAACACTGGTGCAGCAATTGCAGCACATAACCAACTAAGTTAGGTTTATGTTGGTTTAAGAGCAAGTCGTCATGAGTAGCTGCCAATTGTTGGTAAACACAACACCCACCCACTAATATAAACAATCACGAACGTATGCTACTACCAATTCAGCTATTGCTTGGTCTTTGACAGCAACAACGGAGCGCAACAAAATGTTGCTAGCGTAAGCATTGTGTAAACATTGCTGTTAGGAAATGTTGCGTGCTGCGCTTGCCTAAGTAATGTTTAATTCTAAACAAATTTTGTGTTGTGTTTTTGCCTGTGACAGCAGCGGCGTTAGATGGCCATAAAAATCGTATCTGCTCAGGTTGACTCGGTTACTTGCTGGCAAACCGTTAACGTATAAATTTAATTTGTTGCTAGAATTGGTAAGTAAAACTTATTAAGTAAATTTAATTTTTGCGCACTGTTGCCTGCAAGGATCTTGGAGCAAATCAAGTCGACGTTTCTTGTGTGG